GCCGCCCCGCCAGCGCCCTTCTGCAAGAAGCCCGCCGCCCGCCCGCACGCCTTCCATAGGCTCCGTTACATCTGGGATGCATTGCCCCTTAATTGTCAACCCCATTATTGTGATCAAGTGAACGTTGCTAATCTCTACACTTATTGTTTAGGTAAATAGAGGCTGCATTTAATCAATATGCAGGGCCCCAGCCCTCGCAGCGCCAAGTAACTTAAGTCAACGGTGAAGATTTCAGTGTGTGCGTAATTACAGAGCACGCGGAGTGTTCACTCCAGCTTAATTCCACATCTCTTCTCAGACCCGTGGGAGCGGGAGGAGGGAATGGGAGGAATCCCCACCCTCTCGTTCCCTCCTCCCTGAAGGAGGGCCGGCTCCTTCAGGACAAGAAAAGGACTTCGTGGCTGTGACACCGCGCGCCTGGCCGGCGCTTTAGGTGGAGCGCCCTCCGGACGCCAGGACCTGAGGCGGGACTGGGGACAGTCCCGGACTTCCGAGAGGCAGGATCTGGCTCTCGGCGTCCCCTCTCTACGGCTTCTGCAACCCTCCGCTCCCAAATCTGCCGCAGTGCGGAGGGTGATTCCCCATTCGGCTGGCCCCCGCAGGCGGGAAGGCTGGGGGCGGGGCCCTGGAGGCGGGTTGCCGGGTGTTCCCGACGCCCCGGCCCCGCACGCCGGGTCCCTCTTCTCCTCCCCGACTGATCCGAGCAGCCAAGTTCCTTGCTGCTCCCAAAATGCCAAGCCTGGGCGCGCAGGGCAAGGGTTATTTGCGCTTCTTCTTAAATAGCTATTGTTTCCTAATTTAAGAGGACCTGCGCCCGGCGCCAGGGTGAGGATCTGGGATTCGCAGCAGGGGGTGGGCGGGTCTGGGGAGATGGGCGGTCCGCTCCCGCGGGGGGTGGTATCCGCTACTTACTGCAGCTTTGCTCCTGGAGTGGCCTTACAGCGAGGGCTCTGGGCCTCGACAGGGAAAGGGTTAGTTGAGAATCTTCCAGGTGGCGGCAGACAGAACTCTACCCCTCCCGACACCCTGGAGACTGGCCCTAGAAACTGACCCTCAAGTTTGAGGCACTAACACTTCTTCTTAGGCAACTCTGAGGCCCGAAGTTTTTGTTTCTCCTGATGCCTTTCACCGCTCCATTCCCGGGAGAGTTGGGTGTAAACAACAAATTACTCTAGTTGTAACCAGATACCTGCCTTGCATGGAATTGTCCCGCTTTATATAAGCAGGATTCTAAAGTCAACTCACCATTTGTAAGTTTAGGGTGTCATTGCAGCCACCAAACTAAATTATAGCTGGAGTTTGAATTTAGGGCTCATGGTATTTGATAGCAGCTGGCTGTTTTTAATTTGGGGGATGGAGCAGTTCTCCTATAAGCTATCTCTCCCTGCTTTCTTCTTCCCTTAAAAGTTGAATCGCATCTGGAAAACAGGGAAATTAAACACAAATGTCAGTGCAATTCCAAAAACCTTTTTCTATTACTCCTTCCGGAGCCTTCCCCTCTGCCAGTCCCAGGCTGCTTCCAAGCCTGTGACTCTCCTTACCTGTCAGGCAGATCTTTTACCACCATGCTGCAACCAGCCCTGCCTCTTAGTCCACAGGACAGATGAATGTGGTTTCATACACTTCTGATGGGAATGTCAACTTAACCTTTTCTGGATTGTGCTTGTTTTTAAGCTAGGACAAGGAAAAGAAAGGCAAGAGGGGTGACAGCCAGGGATCCTGGGCGAGCACAAGTCCTTTGGAGATCCCAGGAGCTGGATGTGAGTTAAGGCCCACCACTTAACAATGCTGTGACCTTGGGCAAGGCTTGAAACTTGTGTTTCCTTCTCTCTAAGATGAATTATTAAATAAAACTATATAGGGAAATTTCTGGTAATGTCCTCAATACTTACTAACAGTTTAGCTAAAGAAAAGTTCTTGCCTTCCATTTTCCACTGAAATAGCATTCCCAGCTAAAACTTACTGTGAAACTAAAGGCAACGCTAACAGCCACTATAAAATAGAATGTGTGTGTGTGTGTGTGTGTGTGTGTGTGTGTGTGTGCTTGTGTGAAGCACAGGGCCCAGTACAAAATCAGGTTGTATGAGGATGGGTGCAATGACAGCTTACAGCTGCCTGTTTTGGAAGTGGTAAAGTTAGCTGCTTCAGTCAGCAATACATGTCATGGTCTGGCTTTCATATTCTGCACAGGGGAAAGAAGAGGTCTTGTTTCTGATAGTAATAGCTAACATTTATTGAGCAATTATTATGTGCCCAGCACTCAGTGAAGTGCTTTACACACAGCATCTCATTTAATTCACACAATAATCTTATCAATTGAGTATTACCAATATCTCTCGTTTTAAAGTTTTATTATAGAAAATGTTAAATACATATTTAAAAGTAGAGAGAATACTTATTAAACCCCTATATTTCCATCACGCAGAATCAACAATTGTCAGCTCATGGCCAAACTTGTTTCATCTCTACCCCATCCATTTCCCCCTGCCTTATTTTGAAGCAAATCTCACACATCATATCACTTTATTTGTACATATTAGAGTATGTATCAAAATATCGAAAGATAATTCTTTAAAAGTCTCTACAATACCAAGTTATAATCATACCTAAACACATTTGAAATAATTTCTTAATATCATCAGGTATCCAATCAATGCTCATGTCTCCCTAGTTGTCTCATAAATTAAAAAAAAAAAATTTTTTTTGAGACAGAGTCTTGCTTTGTCTCCTGGGCTAGAGTGCAGTGGTGTCATCATAGCTCATTACAACCTCAAATTCCTGGGCTCAAGTGATTCTTCTGCCTCAGCCTCCTGAGCAGCTGAGACTATAGGCATGCACCACTGTGCACGGCTAATTTTTCTATTTTTTAGTAGAGACGGGCGTCTTGCTCAGACTGGTCTTGAACACCTGACCTCAAGCAATCCTCCTGCTTTGACCTCCCAGAGTGCAAGGGTTACAGTCATGAGCCACTGCAGCAGGCCAAAATTTTTTAATTTTTATTTTTTTAGAGACAAGATCTTGCTATGTTGCCCAGTCTGGTCTTAAACTCCTGGTCTCAAGTGATCCTACCCCCTCAGCCTCAAAAAGTGCTGGGATTACAGGCATGAGCCACCAAGACTGGCAATGATTTTTTATAGTTATTGTTTTTTTCCAAATCAGATTGAAATATTCACACATGACATTTAGTTGATATATTATTACCTCTTTAGTCTCTTTTAATCTGTATGTCCCTTTCTCTCTTTTTCTTTCTTTGCAATTTATTTGTTTATA